AACACAGAAGTAGAGGGAGCTATGAAAGTTATAGAGACGAATAAAAATACTAGTAGCTTCTATTATTTAAAGAAAGAAGATTTCTCTACTAGTGGAAAGTGAGAATTTGGAAGGAGAGCATGCTATTTTTATACTGTTTTTTAATTTTCTCTAGTGTTATGAATATGAAAGGTCTTCTTATATATAATGTTATGTATTCATTATACTTATAATTACAAATATTTATTCTTAGAAAGGGAAGGGTGTAAGAGTTAAAGTGGTAAGTAGGATATAATTGTCTTTATATGATTAAGAAGGGGTAGAATAGAAAATCAAAAGTTTTCCTCATTTGCTTCTTTTTATCAATAGTATAGATGTAGATATATATTTATGAGAAGAAGCAATTATAGTAGATATATGTTTTAATTTGTGATTGATTTGAGATAAAATCGAAAAACCTAATCACCCTCCCTCTAGGTTAACTGGCTTAATTTTCAAGTATATAATCATGAAAAAAATTTCACATCGGATCCCCTACTGGAGCAACACGATCCTTTCACACTCTTTACCTAATAACAAATGACATATGTAATTATTATTTAAATATTTTTAAATTAATAATTATAAATTATATAAACCGACACGGATACCGATACCGATAGATGCAGATGAATTTCAGGGCAGGTTGTATATTTTCTTTTTTCGGTCAATCAAAAGAATTTGAGTATGCTGAAATGAATGCACCTATTGCTGTTTTATTTTTGGGCTAAATGGTTTTTTACACTTAGAGAGATTCTTTTGCTAGCTATTTTACATTTAAAGAGCTAAATCATTCTTTTTGCATTCCAAGTAGCTAGTTATTTTACATTTTGATGACATGTCAAGCTATGTAATATTTTTTTGATTTAAAATGTTAATAATAGTTGGTTAAAATAGAGAATATAATTGGAGTGACTTTGTAAAAAATATTTTTTAAAATAAAAAATATAATATTTTAATATATTTTGACCGACTATTTTGAAAAATATCCTTGAAGATGCTCTAACTGTACAAATTGAGTGCAAACACTTATAAGAAATGGATAACACTATAGTACTAAAAAGTTTAAAAAAAAAAAAAATACAAATGAATGAGCCGACTACTGATAATATCAATATGACTTTATGATACTTTTTTTTCATATTAGAAAGAAGAGAAGAAGCCTACAAGGTTGTTGAGTGGGGTAGCTTCAAGGTGGTTTAAGATAAAATATGCTGTAAATATATGTAAATGGGTGGAGCCACCAGAGGACCAAGGGGGGGCACGTGCTTACCTTGTTTTTTTAAATATTATTTATGTATATTTTAAATAATTGTAATTATATTTAAGTGTGTGCACTTTATCATTTTTTTTTCTATCAATTAATAGAGTCTCATACCTAAATAACTATGAATTTTTGGACGCACTTTGGACACTTTAAGGGTATATCTAGATAAATTTTTGACATATTCAAATCGTTTTTAAAGCTACAGAAATTATAAAAACTAAATTGTATAACTGAATGAATAATCAATGACTAATAGTTTGATGGATTATATAAAAATATTATAGTATGTTTTATGCATTTTGTCTAATTTGTTTTTAAGAGTTGTAATTGATCGCTTTTTACTTATTTATTTGTATACGCTCTATTTATTGACGTTTCACTATTTTTGTATTTTATGAATTTTTCAGTATCAAATAGAATGCAGTAAAATTAAATATATTATTTAATTTGTATTGATTGACAGAATTTTTTAAAAATTTCTACAATAAAATGCCTAGGGCTATAGGTAGAAAGTATTGTATTCCATCTTTCGAGCCGATGCATTGTGAAAGACCAATTTCTTGGTCGACCTTACTCCATCGAGGTAATATTTTGACCGAATTCTGTTCAAAAAAATTGACTTGAAATTCAGGTAGGGTTCGAAATATATTACATATTTATAATTTTTTAGTTATTAATTTTTGGTCATTTTAACAGCTCAATTAAATAATTTTTGGACTAGTTTTATAATTATGCTGTTAAAATAAAATATAATAATATATAAATCAACACAATAAATTAATAATATTAAAGAAAACACAATAAATCTGATAATATGTTCTCTAAAAGTCTAAAATTTATGAACAACAAAATGACATCGTTTAATAACAAATATATTTTAAAAAAAATATAAATATACATGCCGGTCAAGTAGGAATATAAAATTTTTACGAATATTCCGTATTTTTACTTGATCATTAGCGGAATACTACAATTTGTTCCGTAACCCGATCGAAAATTTGTAGAATCTAAATTATTAGTTCGGTCATAAAAAATTTAAACACTCTAAAATGTCACCCCAGACGAAATTTTTGACTCTGCAGGTTAAGATGAAAGAGAGATCGAGAAAGAAGCTACGATAGGACGGAATTCTTTTGAGTAAAACAAGGTGTTTGAGGGGATCAAATGTGAAATTCCTATGAGAGCATGTTTGGTTTAAGTACAAATAAAAGACGGGAGTGGATAATTAGTTCCATTCAATTCATATAAATGGTGTTAATAAGAGTACTATTTGATCCGATTCTTGTGTAACAAGTTTAGATTAAAATTGGAATAAAGTATAAATTATATTTATAATACCAAATTTAAGTTTGTATTTGATAACAGTGTATGATATTAAATTGAAAATGACAAATTAAATATTGAGAGCAATAATTTGTATAATGTGTAACTTCTATATAAATGTGTGAGTCTGGGTTTATAAAGATAATAAACTCATTGTGTTTTTAATACTTAAATTGTTAAAAATAATACCATCTATCCCTGATATTCATTACTATACCTAATATTAGGTGTTAAATAACAATAGTGAATTGGGTCAGAATTAATGAAAAATTAATATTGGATCATTATAATTCAATCCAAACTTAGTATTACATCATCAACAAATTAAATTAATTCAATCCAATCTCTTAACACCTAAACCAAACACGCCCTAATAGTCCTCATCCGTTGGAAAAGCCTTGTAGAACCCATATACATTTTTTAAGAACGATTTGAGATATAGCCGGAGTGGGTAGGATATATGGATTATGTTGAAGTTAAGCTAACTCAAATGTTTAGTGTTGGGTTGTGTCATTTTAGGCCTACTTTGGCCTAGTGGAGTTTCGGCTGATCGGTGAGGACAATATCATAGATTAGTCCAAAAATCAAACAACATTCAACACCTTGATCTGTAATTGGTCAATGTGAGTTAGCCTAGTTATAGTGCAGCCACTTGATAAACATCTTAATATGTCGCAAGTTGGGGGTTCAAATATCTTATGCCTACGTGTTTTTCGTTTAGAGTCACCACCCTTAGATTTACTCCCAATGTGGAGATTTGGCTTTGTTGAAGGGGCCAGTACTAGTTTAGTGATAGACAAGAAAGCTAGGTTGCTCGGGATTATAGCTCAGGTAGTAATGGAGATGAACTATAAATTCAAATATTTTGAGTTTAAATCTTGACAATTCCTTGAGATCAGCCCACGAAAAATTTATCCCTCATGAATACTCTACTCCCGGCGTGGATGATATGCCTTTTACCGGACTAGGGAGGTGATTAATCGAAATACGTGTAAGTTAACCTGAACATCCCTGACTATTGAACAAAAAAAAATGAAAAATAACATAGATGGTTGTGTGTCCTTAATCATAAACTATGTTTTTGCATTAGATGATTTTTTTGGACTGCGCATATAGATGGCTCACATAACAATACGTTATGGTAAAATTACAATGACACTATGGTTTTGTCCATATACCATGACCAATTCTTGGATTTCTTTTATTAGGGATTAGCAATTCTTGCAACATTAATCAACCCTAGTTGGCTTGCAATCCACTGTATTGCCAAGACCAATGCTTTTTTGGACTTATTTTGATAACTTAATATACTATTGTCATCAGACTAATCAATGGATCTTACCGCTTAATTAAATTTATTTAATATACCCATTACAATACAATAATGACCGGTTTGGTATGGGTGAAAATAGAATGGATGAAAAAATAGTGAATGTAAAGTATAAGGAAAAATGTAATTTTCCTTTACTTGGTTAGAAAGGAAAGTTGGAGGGAAATGAAAGATGGAGGAAAAAGCAATCCATGCCGCCCACTATTTTTTATCCCTCCGTTTTCGGGTGAAAAATGACAACAATATCTGACAAGTTGCTCAAGATGGGTCCCATAATTTTTATGTAATGATTAATTATCATTTATTTCAAAGAATTCACGTCTCAATAGGTTATTCATATTCTATTAAAGGTATTTTTGATATTTCACTAATAATAATATTTTATTATTTTTTTTCATACCCAATAAAATAATAAAAAAAATTTTCCTTTCACTTTCCATATTTAATATTAAACACAAAAGATGAAAAATATATTTCATTCCTTTAAGGATAAAAAATATATCCCTCCAATGTTCCATCCATCTTACCAAATGAACCATAAGTACCTAAATTAAATCTCTAAATTAGACACAAATATTATAATTATTTTGCCCGAGCCACACTAACAAAATTTAGGCTTCCATTTTTTTCCCAAGATCATGAAGCTCCACGTATCCATCCAGCTACGGCTTGATCTAGGTGGTTGTCACCCTCAAAAAAATTTGGACCACCTTATCAATTTCAATTGACACAACCTTCTCTACCCTCTGCATCACCCAACCATGCACAAAACGAGTATGGATTGATCATGCATTGATTGTGCCATTAAACAGAGTCTCTTTCCTGTAATTGTCAAACCCACATAACCCCCTTAAGAGTTTTATTCTTGATTGAAGTCCGAGAGAAATTCAGAAGTTGTATTCAATAAGTTCAGTAGAACAAACTTGTATTTCTCAATCGAAAAGATGAATTTATTTTTCGTCTCCGATTTTTCATTGAACAAATATAAAAAAGGAATTATAGAGGACTACGTTTTTATTGATTTATAAAAATTAATTCATTCCTCTATTCTATTCTAGTAGGAATGAGAGAACTTACTCGCATCTCTTCCCTGACCCCAACCCAAAATAAAAAAATCTGCTTAGCCCCTTTGCCGTTGGCATTTACCACACAAAACAGCCAAAGGTGTTATCAAGAATGAGTGATGCTCTTCAATTGGTTCATCACAACCATTCATTATAACTCATACACCTAGAAAATTCTTCCATTTCATTTCCTTCAAAGTCAACATAACATCGCAATGACTTATGAGATCGTTATTGAATTGGAAAAAGACTCATATTTATATACATTTGCTTATGGATCTCGAGTTTTCTTCATATTTTTTCATTCGAGCTTTTTGGGTAGATTTAGAATTCTTCTACTACTAAAATTATGGAACAGCTAAATTATGCTGAAAATTTAGACGGGTCACCACCTCCGATCTTGATCAGGACCTCCCACAGCCGTTGGATCTCTCCGATCACGTCGTCGGTCGGAAGCCGATGCCGGCAACAAGGACATGTATTCCTCTTCCTCAGCCACAGCAGTATACACAACCAATGAAACAAATGTTCACAAGGCAATTCACACACATCTCTTCCTTCTCTCATTTCCTCCTTGCATATCACACACTCCTTTCCGCTCCCACTTACTTCCACTGACGGAAGCGCCACCACCACCGCCGCCGACGTTGCAATCTCCCTCCCCTCCTTCCCTCCACCACCATCACAACCCATTACATTAACAAACCTCCTGCACTTTGTCACCACCTCAATATACTTGATCAAGACTTCACTATTCGAAACTCCAATGCCAGAGAGTGTTAGCATCGAATCAGAGACATATTCACAAAGGGCAACACGCCACTTACCGTGTGGGGTTTCGAGGGCTGTTGGGTGGTGTTGCCGGAGTTCACAGAGGAGCAGGAGGAGGAGAACGGCGTCGAGGTCACGGAGTTTGAGGGTGGTGACGGCGTAAGACGGTGGGGCTGTTTTTGTTTGCATGAAGCGAATAAGGTGTGTTAGGGTGAGCAAGAGGTGGCGGGCAATGAGGAGGGACTTGCGGTGGAGAGAGAGGGAGTGGAGGTGGTGGAGGGTGAGGGAAAAGAGATTGGGGGAGGAGAGAAGGGATGAGAGGCGGCGGCGGTGGAGGTGGTGGAGGGAGGAGACGGAGTGGATCAGATCTGAGAGTTGAGGTGGTGTTAGGGTAGAGAGTGCGTTCATGATTACGGTGGCGGTGCAGTTCTGGTCTTCCATTATGGGATCATGTGCTATGATGGACTTGCAATTGGACTTGGGTTTGGAGAAGGGGATGAGTTTTGGGGACCTTCGGGCTTTTTAAAAGAGGGAGTTTGACTCAATGATGCATTCACAGTTTATCCTATGAACACTGAATATTAGTTTCTAATGTAAATGTAATTGGCCTGTCTCAACATATTTTGCCAATAATCCATAAACAAAATGATATTTTTACTTAATCTATAAGAAATTTGGAGACTTAATCGTTAGAGCAATTTTATTGTGATCTAATTTATTGAGTTAATTTGCTCATTTAATTCACTATAACTATTGAATTGACTGTAAATTCTGTCAAATATTGAAATTTGTGTTAATCAAACGATTACAAAGAAATCATATTATTAACTCAACAAATAGTATCGAATTTTTAGGTCCGAATAACATTATTCTGATCGATAATAATAGTTTGATGAAAATTGGATCCCATCCAACCATGAGACTCAGTATTGATCTAATGACTTTAACGAATAAGCTAAGTTTGTTGATTGGATTTACGAATTAAGTCCGATCAACATTACTCTACCCATAATGCAATGGAATTAAATTACAATAATTACATAAAGTAATGTTATTTGTACCTATGATGTTTCTATGACATATTCCAATAGCATAATTACAAATATAATTATTGTTGAGCTTTATTTTTTGTAATTTACAAGTTTTAGGTTTAATCTATTTTAATATTTTTTAAAAATTTATTTGATAGACGTATTATAAAGGGATTAAATATTGAATTATATTACTTTTTATTTAATCGGGCCTAATATTTTATTTGATAAACAAATTTGATACCGTATGAGTTTTAAAAATATATGCTAATCGTATGCTTTTTATACGACAAACATGTATTATGAAAGTATTTTAATACTATCAAAAAATGTGGTGTTATAATCCAATTCAAACGTATTATTTTACATATTTACTATTTCAACCCTCCAACTGATAAAATCAAACTGTCATCAATGTAACATACTAATAGAGGGTTTTTTTGTTAATTCAACATTAATACCATGAAATAATTTACTAACTAAATAACATATTGGATTAAATAACAATTATTCCAAGTTTATATTGTGTATTGTCAAATACTAGGTAAAATTATGTATTATTCTAATATGAAATGCGTTATTTAATCTTATGTTTTGTCTAGCTGTATTGTATTAAACTGAATTATTTTATCTAATTTATCTATTTCTAATACGGCAACTAAATGATCCATAAGAATTAGTCACGCTTATTCCTGTAAGGACATGCTCTAACCCAATTTAAATCATGGTGATCAATCATTGATCTCAAAAAAATAATCGACGGAAACTTCCTATAACAAAACAAAAACAAAAAAAATGTAATTGTCGAACTTCTTCACTAAAAACATATCACTTGAGAAAGATCCCAATAGCATTACTGTGTAAAGATTTAAAGATCTCAATGACTCGGATTTGATTCTCGTCGGTGAATCTAAAATTTAACCGACACATATAATTTACTAGTGGGAAAGGCTACGATACCTTATAAAAGAATTTGGTATTGTACCGTCACTTATTTTTATTAAAAAATTATAACTTTAAAAAGAAAAAGTTAGAACTATTTAATGGGACCATGATTAATTATAAATACATATGATCGATCATAGATTTCTCTTGAACAGTTATAATTTATTCTTTATGAGTTGTAACTTGACCTTTAAAAGTTGTAATTTTGGTATCAATTCTAATCTATCATGATTGATCATGACATTTAAAAATTATAACTTATACTACAAAAAAATTATAATTTAACTTTAAAAGGTTGTAATTTTTGTATGGCAGCTCTGTCGGTACCTTAACCTTTCCCTTTACTATTTATCATAAAAAAAATCTCCTTGGTAGATGCACTGTGATACTATGCCTAAAATATACATGGGTGACAGGTGTGAGATGAGACCTTGGAGGGTGAGTGAGGAGGTGGAGTAGAATGGAAGGGAGTGGCTAAGAATGTCGGGGGTTTGTCCACAAGTATGTGTCGAGTTCAGACACCTTGGCAGTCCTTTTCTTTTCATTATATCCATTTAATACAAGGAGAAAACAACAAGCAGAAGAGCAACAAACAACAATTTGGCCCATCCATGGACACTCACTATTTCTGTCTGTCCCTACAAAGCAGCAATAATAATAGTAAAGGCTGTGAAAACTGCAAGTTACCCCCGGAAGCACTCGGCATTTATCAAGGGCTTTTTGTCACCCTTCTTGCTTACATTCTCCATTTTCATCTATGATCATATTTCTTTGGGTTCTGGGTCTGGAAGTGATTACAAAACTATAAAATAAGACTAAGGAGTTTTTGGAATCATCTGAGTTGGTATTTTAGTAGTAAAGTTGTACACGTTTAAGGTCGTTCCAGACTTTTATAGGATTATTAAGCAAGATTTGATTCAAGAGAGTAGTTTTGTTTGCTGTTTAGATTTGATGGTACTGTGGTGATGAACTGTTCTTCCTGGTCAATAATTGTGGTTCAAACCAGACATTTCATAGCAGGGAGACCCTTATGGTCATTCCCATGGAGGTTACTATCTACTAGTTTTCCCTCCCCCTTTTAATAACCAAAAAAATTAAAGACCAAAGGGTTTGGATCCTCTACTCCATTTTTGCATAGTTTTTTCTTGAATCGTAGATTATATATCATACATTTAGGTGAGATCTACTTAATAAATGCAAGTAGGTAATTAATCACCCGTGGATAATTTATCATCGAAAGAAATTTATGAGAGAAAATCGGTATTTTGATTCGAATGAATAACTCTTATTTTTGTAACGCCCTGGTTCCACTACACCAAATATGGCCCATTTTGTCGGTAGACTCGTGGGTTTGTCAGAAAAGGGACTTTTCACTGACTAAACATTTCTTCTTTGTGTAACTATTGATATATCCTTATATATCATGAACTAGTGCATAACATTTGTTTTGTTAAAGGTGTACTTGAGCCGGTCACGGACCACAAAAGGACCACACCAGGCTCATTTAAGTAATATGCGGACGACTTACCGCCTTGAGAATCCTAGGCAGAGGTAATGCTGAGCCTTACTGGGCATTGCAGGCATTCTAATTGAGGAAAAAGACCCCCTTTATAGGAGGCACAATGATATCTGGGGTATCATAAATTCGGGTTTTTACTTACCTTAAACTGTATGTATAGTAAGATCGTACAAGAACATAGGAGAATATGAAGAGTCCCTAATACAAACACAAGACAATAATGTTACTTGAGACAAAATTTATTGACAGAATGTGGTAATCCAACCAGTCAATTAGTCCGAACCAGGCAGCAGCTAATCAGCAGCAGTAATTAAGCTGAACTTGCAAAATTGCACACATGGGCTACCAGATTTTTCAAAAAGACAAATGCAATCATCCAATGTGCAGAGATGCCTTTCTCATTTTCCAGATGATCAAAGAAATACGTGTCTGGCCACTCTTGGATGGAGCTTTGGGAGTTCATGAATCTAGTTGGGCAGTTTCTTGAAAACTCACTTAAGATACAAAACTTTGTAATTATGGCTCTTCAACAAAGTGATCAAAATAGATGACCAAGATTGTGCCCAAGTGAGTGTTAACAGTGGCGACCTCTATGTTGATGGTCCCCGCAGGCCACAATCATTAACCTTCTCAATGAGGGAAAACAAAGCATGTCCTAACTGAATTCCACGCAGGACCATTGGCCACTCCAGTGAGTTTAATTCCGTCTGGAATGGCACTTCTAATAGTTCCAAATCCTAACCAAAAGCATTTCTTTACGGTAGGTTGTTGTACAATATCCACAGATCAGTGTGAAATAAGGGGCCTTTAAGGTTGAATGCTCCCTCACCATCCTTCATCTGCAATTTCAATAACATTGACCACTTTGGTAATCAGTAACAAACACTTTCCTCATCAAATTCATCCATGAAAACATACCCTTCTTCTATCATTATCTCAAGTAATCCCTCTAACATCCCATAAATTTCTTCAACTCTTTCATTTGACACGTCTCTAGCTATAAACTTTTGAACCCCTCCAAATGTTTCTATCCAACTACTGCCTGGAATTTTCTCCAATCCAATACTCTTCATCTTTTCCCTGACATTTTCAGCTTCTTGCCATCTCCCAGCCCTTGAATATAAATTTGCCATGATGATGTAATTTCCTGTATTTTCAGGTTCCATCTCAAACAAATGATCACAAACAAACTTCCCAAGCTCAACATCACCAGAAACTGAAGCCCCATTGAGCAATGCACCCCAAACTTTGCCACTTGGTTCAATTGGCATTTGCTTAATAAATTCTACTGCTTCAGAAAGCTTGCCAGCTCGGCTTAGTACTCCTACCATGCAAGCATAATGCTCAACTGAGGGCGGAATACCATATTCTGGGAATATGGCCTCAAATATTGTCCAAGCATCTTTCACCAGCCCAGAATGAGCACAAGCAGCCAAGACGGCTGTAAATGTGACAGGGTCTGGCTGTGTCCCGTCATCCAGCATCTCATCAAACAGACTAAGTGCTGCTTTGGCATCTCCATGGGCTGCATGAGCTGAAATTATTGCCGTCCAAACAATCACACTCCTATCTTTTGACCGTTCAAAAACTCTTTGTGCACCATTAATATGTCCCAATTTTGCATAGGTGTCAATAATTGCAGTTGCCACATAAATATTTTTATCATGGCTATTTCTAATGGTGTACGCATGTATTTCTTTGCCTCCTTTCAAATTTGAAAAATATGACAATGTAGGGAGAATGCTTGAGAGCGTTACAGTATTCGGTCTGCATCCAAATGCCTGCATCTCACGAACTAAATCTAAAACTCCCTCGTGATGGTTGTTCTGAACCTGACCTGAAATCACAGCATTCCAAGTACTCAACACAGGGTTTTTCATTTCCCTAAAAAGTTTCATAGCATGGTCAACAAATCCATGAACCATGTATCCAGAAATAATTGCACCATAAGTAATTTCATCCTTCTCACTCATCTCTTCAAAAAGTTCTCTAGCATAATTCAAGCTACCACATTTTGCATACAAAGCAATAATTGAGTTACAAACCGAAAGTTCCATTTCAATTTCATTCTCAATCACAAAACGATGAACTTCCATCCCTAACACGAGATCATTCGACTGTGAACACGCCTGTAAAACACTCACTACTGTAACCCCATTTGGTCTTAAATACTCCAAAGCCAACATTTCCTTATACAATCTCTTGCAATCCTCGTGAAACCCACATTGAGAAAACCCAGAAATCATCGAGTTCCACGTCACCAGATCTCGCTCAGGCATCCAATGAAACAAAGTCCTAGCCGATGCCATGTCATCACACCTAGAGTAATACGTAAGTAAAGCATTCAAAACAAAGATATCGGAATCAAACCCAGTTTTCATAACAAAGCAATGAATCATGTTAGCTAAAAACGAGTCAAATAACACTGATGACAAGGCCTTTAACACACAAGTGATGGTGAAATTGTCGGGTTTGGCTGTCATTAAATCAGGAATTGAGTTCATATCAAGTTTCGAAGATGTTGAAGAGGATAGGAAAGATGAGAAAAGCTTGAGAGTTTCAATGTGTTGGTTGTGAATAGAATACCCAATGAGAAGGGCGTTCCAAGAGAAGGTGTTTTTGTGGGGAATTTGATCGAACAATTTGTGGGCTTCATCGAGGTGGTGGGTTTTGGAGTAAAAAGTGATGAACTTTGAGGCAAGGAAGTTATCGAGAGTGATAGAGGAAAGGACAAGGCGGGCGTGAAGCTGCTTAGCTTGGCGAACCAGCAGGTGGTCGGTGCAGTGTTGGATGAGTCGGCCATACGCGGTGAAATTGATGGGGCCATTGGGGATTAAGAGGGTTTGGAGCGCTTGGTGGATGTAGCCGTTGGGCTTTTACAATTTGAACCTGTAATGCCCTTGTGTACCTCATTCATTTTCTAACGGTGATGCTCATAGTTTGGACCATTTTATAAGGTGCGCGATTGAATGGTGAGATAATAGAATCCTAATAAGGGTTATTTGCGGTTGTGGTCTCTAAAATATATATTTTAACTCATTTTAATCCTCAACGTTCTAATTGCATTAAGTTGGCCCTTCATATATTATGTTTGCACTTAACTAGTCTCTGCTATTGACGTCGTCTATATTTTTAACGATTTATAACTTATAATATTCAAAATATGTCAACAGTTGAGCTTTCAGCTTGGACCTTCCAAGCTTAGGCCACTGAGCCCATCACAGATGACTAGGGAATTTGAGGGCGGTACCTCATCCCCAATAACTGCACCTCCACAGGAATAGCACAGAAGACAGCTAGCTTCCACCCAAGTACCACACATAACACAATGGTCTTGTATTTATGCAAGGAAGTCGTAATCGTCCTAACAATGCCCATGACAATCACATAAAATGTGCAACCATTACAAGAAGAAGGCAAAGATCACGCCAAGGATCAAGTAAGGCCTCAGAAGACTATAAATAAGAGGCATATCCTTCACGATATGACACAAGCAACTAGCCTAAACAAATATCCTATGTAATCTTCCCCCTATTATCAATAATATCATCACCAGGAGCAGGAGACGCCCTTCAAAGTGAATTAGTCGAGTTCCCGAGCTAGTCAAACACTATAAACGCTCTGTTTGCAAATCTCCACTTCCCTTGTTCAATTCTTAAGAGTTTAGGCGCTTTGATTGAACCATTCAGTAACCACTGATCCCTAAATATCATAAGCTCTGCTCAATTGTGTGGCATACATCATCAGTTGGCTTTGTTTGTGGAAATGAATGTTCTTCTAAAAATTATATTGATACCTTCAGTAATTGATAATTTCTACAAGCAACATGAGCAGAAGTCAAGTGAGCCCTCTATGTTTGCAAACCCAACAAGAAGTCACCAGCAGACGATAGTAGGAGAACCTGCCTACTCCTGATACTAATCCTCCAATGGAAAACCTTCCTCTAAATAATGAACTTGAAGCCCTTTGACAAGCTAATCAATGTCTCCTTCAGCAAAATGAGGAGTTACTAAACCTCATTCACACCTAACATCCCCAGAGGGCACAACCAGCCCAGAATGATCTCCCACGAGGGAAACATCAATGTCCAAATCCCTTAAGGGATATTATAGAAGGGGATGAGCACAACCAATCAGTAGGCAATATCTGTCAACGAATTCAAAGGAACGAAGAAGACGAAGAAGTGCAGAGTCAGAACAGGGGGACTAATGGGAACGAGCTTCCCCCATTCCAGTAGGAATAGAAGGAGCAATTCTGGGAACAACGCTTCAAAGAGATTCAGCAGGAGCTCAGCCACATGAAGGAGGTTATAAAAGGCAAAACTCCAGTGACTGTGGACGCATTGGTCCACCAGACAGAATCCCCATTCTCCTTGTAGGTGCTACACTTTCCTCTCCCACGGAAGTTCAGAATGCCACAAATGGAGACCTTTGATGAGACAAAGGTTCCTATAGATCATCTCAACACCTACAAGAACCAGATGGAGTTGCACGACTACTAGGATACAGTGTGATGTCGAGCTTTTGACATCACCAGCCTGGTTCAATAGGTTGACCCTATCATCACTCTCTTCATTTAGAGAACTTTCCATCTCATTTTTATTGCATTTCATTGGAGCTCGAACCTATTGAAAGCTGAGCTACCATTTACTAAATGTAAAACAGGGGCCAAATGAGACATTATTTAGCTACGTCCAAAGGTTAAACTCAGAATCCTTAAAAGTAGACGTCTCTAATGAGAATTTTTTCCTCACTGCTTTTACTGCCGGGCTGGGAGTTCAGTCAAGGGACTTAATGTTCCCTAACTCTAAGAGCCCGCAAGCTAGTATAACTAAGGTCCTGACCAAGGCAGAAAAGTATATCAATGGCGAGGAAGTTCTCCTCTCAAAGGCTAGGAGCTCAACTACTCAAAAAGAGAAAGAGAAGAGAAAGGACTGAAGTTCGAGGAAGTAGAGGAGTTAAGAACGGTCTCTACGAAGAGATATAGATTGTTCCCCAAAAAGGAGAGGAGACATTAGAGATCGCCTGGGACCTCCACCTCAGGAGCTACAACTGAGGTATGCCCCATGAAAGTTCACTCCTCTTAACGCCATGGTATCCCAGGTACTCTATGAGGTACATAATAAAAAGTTCTTTAGGTGGCCACCTCGGATGAAGGTTGACCCAGCAAAGTGGGATGCCACGAAGTATTGTGAATATCACCAAGACCATGTCCACCTTACTGATGATTGCATCCAGCTGAAGGAGTTAGAGTTTCTAAATCAGATAGGGCAGTTGCGTTGTTTTGTGGCTCAAGACAATCAGAACCGAGCCCCACCTACCTCCAACACCTCTGTAGTAAGCCCCTCCACAACACCAACAACCCTTGGAAAAAATCAGGGTGATTTTAGGAGGATTTGCTAGAGGTGGAGAAACCAGCTCAACTAGGAAAGCCCATGTGCAAAAATTCTGAGATAAAGATGTTTTGGAGATACAATTGTGTCCAAACACCTCACCTAAGCATGGATATCAACTTCTCAAACTTGAATCTAGAGGGTGGCTAGCACCCTCACGATGATCCCTTGGTGGTAAGGGCTATCATTGCCAACATAACCATCCACCGGGTTCTAATTGACAACAAAAGCTCTGCTAATATCATATTTGCATCAACCTTTGAAAAGATGGACATTGGTGGAGACAAGCTCAAACCGGTAAAAACTCACCTTCTTGACTTCTCTGGGGAAATGGTGCTCCCCCTAGGATCAATCCAACTCATCCTTATAATGGGAGACCCTCCCTGCTAGTAAACTACAACTGTACAGTTCTTAGTTATAGATGCTTCTTCAGCATAGAACATCCTGCTAGGGAGGCCCTCCCTCAATGCCAAGAGAGCTATTCCTTTTGTCTATGATCTAGTAATGAAGCTCAACCCAACCAAATGCGCCTTTGGGGTATCTACAGAAAAATTTCTAGGCATTATAGTCAACAACTGAGGCATTAAGGCTAATCTAGAGAAAGTTTAAGCTGTGATTGATATGCAATGATGACATTTCAGGTCTTAAAGTGAACAAGGGCTCAAGGACAACAAATATTACACTTGGATGTAACACCAGCATATTGGGGGACAAAATTGGAGAAGCTTGGAACAAAGAAAGAACGTTCGAATGCCAACTCACGTTCAAACGTCCACTTGAACTATGAGAAGACCAGACTGCTGAGACATGACATGTTGCAGCCAAGAAATAAGATTCGGAGATACTTGAGTACCAAGTTCGAACAAAAAATCACGTTCGAACGTCAACTTGAATTGATTGAAGACTAGGATGATGAGTGCAAAGTGCCAAGATGTGCATGGAGTGTGGAAATAGGTTTTCACAGAAGACAACTGACCACTTGAGTTAGAAGATCAGGCCCCATCTGGCGTTCGAACGCCCATAAAGCAAAAACAGAAACAACGTTCAAACGCTAGATCACGTTCGAACATTCTCCACAGACATGCTGCAGAATGGTTGATCTTCTCTTCGGATACTGAGACTCTCATTTGGACTTTGAATGCCTTGTACTATTCCTCCACGCTACTTTGATCCCTCCTCCTTACCTATAAATACTCCTATTGTGGGAGCTTGAAGGGAACTAAGTAGAGAGCTAGATGGAGACTTAGACTCCCACTCATGTAGCTAGTCTTAGATGTATGTTATATTTGCTTGTATCAAGGGAATTAGTTTATCTTTTGGTTGAGGAAGCAACCCTCCAAAAGTGACTACGTTTCTTCTACTTTTATTGCTTATGTCTTTCACTTCCATTGCTTGAGCCTCCATTTTTCTTAGAAGAGTGAAACTCTTCCACTTTTCTAAGGCTTTACCAAAGCCGTGAAGGGTAAAACGTGATTCACTCATTCTTCGTTGAAGATCGGCTCTTTGTTTAGTGTGTTTCACTTTGTAACTCCTCTACTTGGAGGGATGAGTATCACTTACTTTTCTAGCTTTACCAAAGCTATGAAGAGTGAGTAGTTCCTCATTCATTCTTCAGTAAGAGGTGATGAACATGTATTAATTATTGTACTTTATCTAAAGAATGGAACATTAATGCCATGGTTGGATGCCTAGTAGAAACACACGCTTGTTTGTAGACGGGTTGAGTCTTGGCACAGACAATTCTTGTAAACTTCTAGAAAGGCATCATAACCATGAGCTTAATTCTCATAGTCTATCTTTATCTTCCGATTAACTTGCTGTTGACACGGGAGTTAATTGATTTATAAATCACAAGTATAATAAACCAGATGATTAATTACATGTTCTGATCCTCGAACTAAAGAGTGGCTGTTACATTTTGATAATTTATCTTATATTTTGTCTAGAAAAATTCACTGGAGAGAATCTTATATTTTGTTCAGAAAATCTCATAACTTCAAACTCTCAAAGTTTTCAGTTACTTGGTCTCTGTCACTACTTACTTCAAAACTCTAATCATAGTTCCCTATGGATTCGACTCCAGACTTAATCTGATTATTACTACAGCTTGATCGCCTGCACTTGGGTGTACACATTTCGGATCAAGTCAAATTTTTGGCGCCGTTACCGGGAACCATAAAAGGTGTTTTAAGGTAAAAGGTAAAAATACCTCTCTTTGTATATATATTTGCTTCACTGTGTATAAATTTGTTTTAATTGTTTTTATGTCTGAGGACGCTCCTCACTCTCAAAATTTGCGAGCAGAATCTTTTAGGTATGTAAATCAACCGGAACCACGTTCACCTAGATCAGTAGCAGACTCTTGTGAAAGTAGAATGACAAATGATGAGAGACAAGGAGAGGTTCCTACAAAAGAGGGCGAAGTGCCTAACATT